ATATATGTATATATACTGTATATTCCTGGCAGCAGGTTATGTCTTGACTTGTAGGTTCCAGCTGGTTTGGTCATTAATTGTCACTTAAAGAAATTTAATTTAAACTGAATCTATTGTAAATTTTAACAATACAGTTAAATTAAACAGTAGCAAATTTCATCCATGTATTCTGACACATGCATTCCCTTGTGTGTGCTCACGTGGGTCCTGAAGGTTTGCATTCATAACTTTATTGTTCTGGATGAACTCTGACTTCCTGTGTGTTTGTGTTATTTATAAAGTTCAAATATAAAGTGTAAAAATGTGCTAAACAAAAAATGTGCGATACAGTTAACAATATAATACAATGATTAATGCCAGTAAAAGTGTTGTCATGATCAGCAGGACTGAGGATGACAAAAATTTGAGATTTCCTCAGTTTTTATTATGTGGAAATACTCTGTGCGTAACAAAGTCAAATATCTTGATATCTTGGGCATTTTCTCACTGAAGACCTAACTGATGATGATGATATTTACAGGCAGTGTCACCTGCTGGATGGACAGGCTAATATGCTCATCAGGAGGTTTGGTGTTTGTACTGATGTGGTAAAGAAATCTCTGTTTAAGGCCTACTGTACACCCTTATATACTGCACATTTGTGGTCTAACTACAAGTGAGCTAGCATGAGTAAACTTAACATGGCATAAAAAGGCCTGCTTTAGACTCTTACTGACGAAGCCAAGATGGGAAAGTGCTAGTGAACTCTTTGTGACCACTGGGCTCAAAAACTTTCAGGCTCTTTTAAGAAATTTGGTGTTTGAATTTATTAGTCGTATGCATGCTGTAATTCAATTATTATGAGCTTGACTAATATAAGACTCAGTGTTACACGTTACAAGTCCCAGTTGTGGAGGTACTGGTTCAGCTGTCTTTTATAGTTCTTTTTTTTTGTTGTTGTTTGTTTGTTGTTGTTGTTGTTGTTGTTGTTGTTGTTGTTGTTGTTGTTGTTGTTCTTGGATTTTATTGTTGATCTGCTACGCTTGTCTTTGTTTTGTGGACCTTGAGTCTGTAATAATGGTTTGAAAATAATTCAGTTCAGCTGTGAGAGGAAAGGGCAAATGCTAAATATTCAACAAATGGAAAACAATTTGATTGTCCCCCAAAAAATAAAAATAAAAATAAAAATAAAAACAGTACAGAAAGGAAAGGAAAGGGAGAAGGAAAGAACAGTGTTCCAGGGTTTATACCACTTCATTAAGTTGATGTACTCATTCCATTTACACTTTATTTATCCATATTTCAGTCTTGAATGGGTTTAGGATCAAATAGTGAGATAATTTAAAAAAATGTAAGAGTAAAAAACACTGGCTTTGATATCCTGATGCATCTCAGTAATCCAGGTAGAAAAAATCAAAAAGAAAAAATAAGTAGGTCCTCTGGATGTCTTCTTCTTTAGTGAAACGTTTCGTCTCTCCTCCAAGAGACTTCTTCAGTCTGATGAGTTTCAGCACATTTACAAAACATTAACAAAATTTCATTTTTTTTTTATCTTTTTGGATGGAAGACTACCTCCTGTCCACAGAATCTTCTTTTAAAGAAAAAAGGATTTGTCTGTGAAGAACTTCTGGAATAATTTTCTTAAAAACAAATCTGTCTTTTACAATATTCATCACTAAGTTTACTGTAAATTTATTATATTGGCAAAAACACATAAAGGTTTCCATTTTGACATCAGATACGTTATTTCCCACTTAGGATGCCCAAATGGACTTTTTGATACAAAAAAATAAAAATCCAGTCCAGAGTTCTTGGAGGATCCCACATCCCCCATCACCCCCCAGATCCAGCCTTGAAGTAGGCCCTGTTTTTAGTCAAGTCTGCACAAGTCAGCTACTGGGCAGGCGTGTATGATTCTTAAGCCTGCATGCATACATTGTTTTGTACCAAATGTTTCTTAGTACACAACACAAATGTGTTTTTGCTCTTTACACTGAAATTAAACAATTTTGTCTGATAAGACGAGAGACCAGGGGCCTCATGTACAAATGGTGTGTACGCATAAAAAAGTTGCATACGCCAGGTTCCACCCACGTATATTTATGCACACCTTACATTTACGGCCACACAAAGTTTCTCAATTGGCAGTTTTAACCAACAAAGTCCTGAATCTGACTTGAATATACAGAAATGGGGTGTTGCGGGATCTGACCTTTAGGGGGTTAGACATGAACAGTCTATAATTTTAAGGGTAGGTTAATTTTAACAGTGAGAGATAGAATATTTTAAAAAATCCAGAAAATTACATTGTATAAATTATATTAATTTATTTGCCTATGCAGAGAGAAATAAGTATTTGATTCCCTACCAACCATTAAGAGTTCTGGCTCTTACAGACCAGTTAGATGCTCCCAATCAACTTGTTACCTGCATTAAAGTTCAATCCATTTATCATTAAAGACAGCTGTTAAAGACAGCTGTTTTAAATTGCCACCTTATCTATGGTCACAAGCTTTGGGTAGTGACCAAAAGAACCATTAAAATACATCTTTATGTATATTTGTTTGCATACAGTGGGGGGAAATAAATACTTGATTCCTTGCTGATTTTCCAAGTTTGCCCACATACAAAGGCATGAACAGGCTATAATTTTAAGGGTAGGTTAAATTTAACAGTGAGAGATAGAATATTAAAAAAGTCACATTGCATAAATTATATAAATTTATTTGTGTGAGGATGTGTTGTCTTGTGTTATCTCTGTGTTTTGGATCCTTTGTTCCTTGTGCTCTGTCTCCCTCTTGTGTTCGTGGTCATCAGTCATCTTTTCCTCTGTCAGCGCCACTCTCCAGTCTCCCTCTGTTAGTATTTAACTGGTCTGTTTTCATTGATGGAGACTAT